CGCGCATGTCATTTTGGGGTGTAACGTAAACTTGCACGCGTGATACAAAAAAATATTGTTTCTGGGTGTACCAATCGACGTAACAAAAATAAAATTTCCTTCTATCGACTATCAGCAAACTGACTTATTTGTATTTTTCGCCATGACAAAGCAGGAATATTCTTGCACCCCAGTTTTGCGACTTCCGGGAAAGTGGTCTATTATGCTATAGGTTCACACTGCCACTAGAGGGCGCAATTTACTGTGTCCGTACAGTAAAACTTCCTTGGTACTACACACAGGGTTTGTAAGTAAATTAGTCCTGCTAATGTGGTATGTAGTATCAAAAACTGATAATAAAAAATGGTGAAAAACAAGTAGTGAATTACATTCCACTCAGTGCCCTTCATATGTTTTGAATTCCCAGATATGTGAAACGTCACTCCCACGCCGAAATAAAAACATAAAATGATGCTAAAAAATCTGAAACTATAAAAGTGGATATCCTGCCATGACCTTTTTACACACTTCATTTTGAGAGTGCTGGAGGTGCTTATCGCTTCAATAAACATGCCTACAATGTTACTGACCTTCAAGAACAAACAAAGCCCCCTAACTCTCTATTATTAACAAATCAACCTGCCCTCTCAACATTTTATTTTATGGTGTATGTACTGGTCTGATGATGGGTACTTCACAGAGTAGCTTATTATAATGCAACTTTCATGCATTAAAGGTACTCACTGTGTCGTATTGTTTTATGTGGAACTCATTGCCATATATGTAATGAATCTCATTAACAATTAGAAGCTACAGCTTCACCTATATGTGCTGCCACTAACGAACAAAAATTGAAATATAAAAAAACTTAGCTTGTATTAAATTATTTTTCATATGTATTTATCGTGTAAAAGAAATAGCCATTTTAATCCTTCACTTAACATTTTCACTTTTCCATAAATAAATTATTTAAAAAAAAAGATTTTAGTAAAATACTCAAAACTTTTGGAGGGAAAAATTATGGTGTTCAAACTGAGTTGTCAGAAAGGCATTATTTTTTGTCCTGTAATAAACGTATTTAATTGGTGCTAAAACAAAGTTATGTATCTAATTCTGCACTCAGATTTATCATTAGTACCACTTAATTTACTGATTATTCTATAGTAATTCTGTTTGGTACAAAACATGCACATGTATTTTACCTTGCATATTAGTATAGTAATTTTTTTTTATTAACAATTTCAGTTTTTGAAATAGTATAAATAACTAAAGCACGCATTTATTTATGCTCATTTGGTATTCATGGTATTGTAAAAGGTGAAAAATTAAAATTAGTTTATTTGTATCAGATTTGGTTCATATTGTCAATATTTCTGTAATTTTTATTGTTTCAGCACATTTATCAAAATATTAACTTTTTATACATTAATAAATATTTTATTATAAAAATGTTGTATTGTTTGTAATCTGTTAGTTTTCTGATTTACAGCTGTAATTTGAATTTGACATCCCAGACAGACCCTGAATGTGGGTTGGTTTACATAAAAACAAAAGATGTATGAAATGCTTTGTCATTTACTCATGCATGATTCAATACAACCATGTGACAATCAAAATTTCAATTTCTCAGAGAACGTCCATCAAAATCAGTAATAGCTCAATCTTGAGAGGACCTACCTGTGTGGTTGGAGTTGTTTAAAACCCCATCCAACTTTTACAATAGCTTGTCATCAACTCCATATGTTGCACACTGGTTAAAGCAAGCAAATATGCAAGGTCTGATTCACAATAACAATTTACAAGATGTATACAGTGATTACGCTAAAATGTCAGTTTACACTACATATCAAATGAGGTTGTTTTACAATTAGCATAAATACAATGAATTTAAAGAATGGGTCATGTGATCAAAGTGGCCATCTAACAAAATACAATAGACTGCCGTTTTTCCTTCGTTCACATTGGAAACAGAACAGCTAATAGTACGCAACAAATGTTAAACCCTGCACTGAGATTAAATGTTCATACAAAACATATTTTAGTCCATTATTTCTCAGGAAAAAGATGTATAAGAAGGTTATCACAAGGATACCGCAAAGTCTGCACTCAGGCAGTACAGGGTAGTATTGTCCTCTGCTACATATCTGCCAATGTGATGGCTGTAATGCTTTTATGTATACTTTGAGTTATTCTCTCAAGTACAAGGGGCATTCAATAAGTAATACCCCTGACCCACTTCCAGTTGTCTGATCTCAATGAAATTTTGGATGTGTAATGATTTACATCTCTATGGGTTATGTTGCAAAAAACAGCTCTGAACTAATTGTGGTTTCTGATTCACAGGTGTTTCAACTGAGTCAGGTGTGAAATGGAGCCAGTTAAGTGTCGCGCAGTGATTTTTGTATTTGAAAGGACGCACACCAAAGGAGACTTTTGATAAAATGAAAGAAACTTATGGTGATGATGCCCCATCATATGAACTTGTAAAACGCTGGCATCGTGAATTCAAACATTCTGTCTGAATGGAAGTCTGTGGAAACAGCTCCCAGACCTGGTCGTCCCTCTTCTGCCATTCATGAGGCATCTGTCTGTCAGGTTGAGGCAGCCATTTTGGAAACTATCATTCATGACCATTTGCATATGCATAAGGTGTCTGCCAGATGGATTCCCAGGTTGCTGAAACCTTTCCAGAAGCAAGAATGCGTTGAGTGCTCGAGGACGAATTTGGAGATGTGCCAAGAAGAAGTTTTCAAAAGACTGATTACACAGGATGAAACTTGGGTCCATCATTATGATCCAGAGACCAAAGCCCAGTCAATGCAGTGGAAGCACTTGGACTCACCACCTCCAAAGAAGGCAAGGGTGCAGCCCTCTGCTGGCAAGATCATGCTCAGTTTTCTGGGACCAGGACGGAGTAGTGATGACAGATTTCCTGGCAAAGGGTACTACAATTACAGGAGCCTATTACGCTTCACTTTTGATGAAATTAAGAGAAGCCATCAAAATCAAGAGGCAGGGCAAGGTATCCTCCTCCTGCAGGACAATGCTCTAGTCCACAACTCGCATGTC